AGTTCGGGGTGCCAAGCTGGATGTTGGCGAAGCCTTGTATTTTAGAAAAGGAAACGGTCGTATCCTTCTTCTTAAATTCAAGGAACGCGCAACTAGGAAACCAGTTCACCTAGTTACAACAGCTTGTCATGCTGAAAATGCCCCAGTAATGAGCAGGAGTGGCAACAGGCAAATCAAGCCCATAGTAATTCATCGATACAATCAGCATATGGGCGGTGTTGATTCAAAAGATAAAAGTATTTACCATGTGACTTGTTCTCGCCAAACAAAAAAATATTGGAAGAAGATTGTTTATAATTTTGTTGATATGGCTATCTTGAACTCATACATTCTTTACAGGTACCAGCCCAGTACCTGTAAACTAATGTCTAGGTTTGAGTTCATGAATAGCATCATTCAAAATTTAGTTTCCGAAACTCCTCAACAGCTCTTGGTGGAGGAACCTGAAGTTGAAGTGGGTGGAAACCATGTGCTGGAAAAGCTTCCAAACAAAAACCAGCGCCTGTGCAGTGTATGTGTCCTAGAAGGGAAAAAAAGTTAAAGTGTGATTAGGAGAGACAAATATGTGGGTACCTACTGTATAGGCCTCAAAATTTATTATAATATGTATATCTCTTTTACAGCATAGGTTGTTTTTTTTGTAAATAATTTTTGTCTAAATAATTGTGTAAATAAATTTTGTTATGAACTTGAATTGTTGTTTCTATGGTTACCTAATATACAAATTTTATTATTTTGCTCAATAGTTCTTATTTGGTAATGGTAAAAAGCTACAATTATTCATATAATCAGGAAAGTAATAGTAATTTGCAGAAAATCTTGTTATGGGTTTAGAGAATGACTTAGCGCTGGATCCAAAAATGTGCTCTTTTTTACATTTCCAGGCTTCAACAAGTCAAAAGCTATTTTATACCAACAAAACTATATATTTTCTAAATCAGCATAAAATTTCAAACATGTTGTAAATCTTGGAATTTGTATAGACCAAATGTTAAAATTTTTAGAAGCGTTAGAAGTTTATGGTTTTTTTGTGATTTTTGATAAGTAAAAACTATTATCTTTTTTCTAAGTTGAATACTGTATTTATTTTTCAGCAAATACAAGTAAATTCTTATATATTTTTATTGTTTGTTCACTGCTCTAATAAAATATATGTGTTCTTTTAGTGAATTTCCCATATAGGGAATAAGCTATTACCGTGTAGTACTCATGGTAAGACCTGGACGCGGGACCGATTTTTTTTTCGTTTTGAGGTCCCTAGAGGCCAAAAACACCATCCGTTCAAATTCATATATATATATATATTTATATATTTATATATATATATATATATATATATATATATATATATATATATATATATATATATATATATATATATACTAGCTGACCCGGCGAACTTCGTATCGCCTAAGTTATAGGTTTCCCCTAAGACAGACCGATGGAAAGAAAGTACCGTTACGTTTAATTTTCAAGATGATCTCGTTCGCATCGCTAACTCGCCTCCAGGTTGAAGTTCGTTCGCTACGCTCACTCACCTTTGGGTTGGAGCTCGTTCGCTGCGCTCACTTGCCTTCAGGTTAGCTCGTTCGCTACGCTAACTCGCCTCCAGGTTGAAGTTCGTTCGCTACGCTCACTCACCTTTGGGTTGGAGCTCGTTCGCTGCGCTCACTTGCCTTCAGGTTAGCTCGTTCGCTACGCTAACTCGCCTCCAGGTTGAATCAAGATGATCTCGTTCGCATCGCTCAATCACGTCCTGGTTGAAGTTCGTTCGCTACGCTCACTCACCTTTGGGTTGGAGCTCGTTCGCTACGCTCACTCACCTTTAGGTTGGAGCTCGTTCACTGCGCTCACTTGCCTTCAGGTTAGCTCGTTCGCTACGCTAACTCGCCTCCAGGTTGAAGTTAGTTCGCTACGCTCACTCACCTTTGGGTTGGAGCTCGTTCGCTACGCTCACTCACCTTTAGGTTGGAGCTCGTTCGCTGCGCTCACTTGCCTTCAGGTTAGCTCGTTCGCTACGCTAACTCGCCTCCAGGTTGAAGTTCGGTCGCTACGCTCACTCACCTTTTGGTTGCAAATTAGCTGTTGTCATAAATGTAAAAGAAATAATAGTGCTACACCCTGTTGGTAATCCTTGTAACTTTAATGCTATTGAACATCATAGAACAGAACCAACTTGTTTAATTGAAACAGCTGTTAAGATTCATTAATTCCATTTCTCATAAGGTTAACATGGGAAACTCCAGAGCCACTGGGGCGGAGCCCTTTTAAGAATTTCGAAACGGGAAATAGTTTACGTCCGATTCGCATACCTACAGAATTTACACACCAAATTTCATAACGATCGGTGAAGTCGTTCCGGAGGAGTTTGCAGACAAACACTGTGACACGAGAATTTTATATATTAGATATGTGTGTCCGTCAGCACGATAACTCAAGCAAAAATTATCCGATTTTGATGAAATTTGGTACAAACGTGTAAACCTACGTTTATTCGAACTAGTTCGCGATCCAGCATGATCGGACCATGGTAACGGGTGTTTACGGGGGGTTTTATGGGGTAAAAATAGGTTTTTCCCATTATTGACCCAAAAAACTTAAAATTTTGCAATTTATTTCCAAACCATTTTGTAGAGCTTAAAAAAACAAATAATTTAGTATATTGAAGCGTTATTATGCGCCTAACGGTTACGGAGAAAATTCCAAAAAATTTTAAATTTAAAATTCCCATGTTATTCTTATGGAGAATAAGTAAACTGTTGTAGTTTGCTTGTTTATGAACATATTTTGATCAAATTTGGAAAATGTTTTTATTTCTTACTAACTATTAACATTTTACAAAAAAAAAAAACAATTTTACCCTCCCTGATGCAGCAAACCTAAGTACTTGTTAAACTAATTCTATTTAAATCGGGAATAAATGTTATATTTTTAAGTAGACATTTCAGTGTAAATCCAATCAGTCAAATGGAAATTCGCTTAGTCTGCAGGTTTGCTGCGGCGGGGGTATTTATGTTTTTGGTCTGTTTCTATGAGTAGGCCTAAATAGTATAAAAGTATGAACATTTCAGAAAAATGTAGAGTTTTACAATTTTGATCATAACTCAAAAGTTTTTGTAGTAGTTTCAAATGTTTTTACATATTTATGTAAGGAAATGAATTTAGAACAATTTGTATATCTAAGATTTTTGAAAAAAAAAAAATATTTTGATTTTTTGCAGAGAGCCATACTTTTGAAATGTAGTTTTTGATGTTTTTTCTTTTTGTTTTTTATTACAAAACTATATTTTGTATTCTGTTGATATATTTAGATTCCCTGGAATGTCCCAAATCCAATATAATATTATAGGTTTGGATAATAAATAGGGGTTTTCCAACTGTGAAAATAAAATGCTGCCCAGAAGTCAAAAACTGCCTGGCCCTACAGAAACACTCTATGTGGCCGTTCTAGGGTTAAGTGGAATTTCCAACCAATATTTTTAATATTTTTTTTTATGAAAGAATGTAATTTTTATATTAAAAAAAGTCTAATAACAAACTAAATACCGGTACATATACATACACCCTTTTTAGGGATCCAGAAATCAGAAATCCTTTATTCAACCTTCTTTATTTATCCTTAAGCAAAACAATCTTGCAATAGACATGGTCACATATTAATGGTAAAATAGGGTTACACAGTAGCCCAATCAGACTAGATTATAAGCTAATATCATAGATAATAACAGGTAAAAATTTAAAAGTAAAAAGAAGGCTATAGGCTGGGTGGAGAATATACTAGATAAACTATTAAAACATCAAAACTTAAAAACTTTTATATCAAAAAACTCTTTTATCACATAAAAAGGATATAAAAGTAGGCCTATCTAACTGAAAGGGTAAAAAAAAAAACAGTGTTTAAGCACTACAGCCAAAAACTGATGAACGCGGACACCCAATTTGAATTAGGTACCAAGTGGTCACCCCACATCACATTGTGTAGCCTACATTTTCTTATATAGTGATATATCTTTCACTTAAGGTCATGATTTCGTCCTTAACTGTAGGCATTTTAAGCCTAAATTATAAACAGATAAAACCCAGTCTCCAACAAGTCAGCCTAGGGTTCCTCAGCGAGTTAGGTAAATTGATTATCATCTTGAGATTATTGGTTCAGTAAGTTGATTAGTACAAGAATTTTAAAAGGTATAGGCTATAGTGATGGTCAAAACCAGAAATTTCAAATCTCAAAACCAAAACCGAAACTTAAAAAATCGAATCCCGAATCTCAAAACCTGAACGCGAAACTTTTTAATTACCTAGTCAAGGTTGTTAAAAAATAAAAATACAGGTAATGATAACATTTTCATTAAGATTATGCGATTTAAAACTGAAAGAGATTGACTCCTGATCCAGACATAATAACATAAATGTGACAGATAGTAAACTTCAAATCCAAAATAACATATTTTTTTATAAATAACTAACATTAAAAAAATGAAACTCTTGACATTGAAATAAACATGAATATTACATTAATTAGAACATTTAGTGCTCAATATTCCTTTGTGTTTAATAAATATTGAATATCGATATGAAATTGAATTGTTAGTTGTTTCTTGTTGTATTTAAGATGCTGTTTGCAGTTCAGAATACAATTTACTTGTTTCTTTAGTGTTAATGGAGATGTGTTTGCTCCATTGCTACCAGCTTGTGTGTAAACAATATGGCTTATGGGCTAAACAATAATAATGACATAACAAATGTCATAATATTCAAAAATATAAGTGCCAAAACTTCTTATTTCGAAACTTTTGAATCTCGAAACTCGCCAATCGAATCTCGAATCCGAAACTTTTCCAAAGTTTTGATGGTTTTGAAATTTGAGATTTGGTTTTGACACATCACTAATAGGCTTTTAGTTAACCCTCGGAGGGTGAACATTTTTATCAGTTGATTGCTATATTCTGATATTTAACTGCTTGCTAATATTGTAAGTTATATCTAAAATTTTTTTCCAGGGATACAATATTCACATAAATGGATTATATCATTGCACAGTTAGATACAGACAGCTGCACAACCTTCATGAGCAACTTAAGAGGATTCACGATCCTCCGAATGTCCCTGTGTTTCCACCAAAAAAGTTTTTACCATTGTCCTCTCACCAATTAGAGGAAAGACGATGCCACTTGGAAAAATATATTCAAATCGGTAAGTTGCCTTTTCAGTTTAACTAGGACATTTGCTAAAGATTTATAACACTTATCTGTAAGCCAACTTTAATTACACAGGGTGTCCAGGCCGTCTAGAAACCATGAAAACCGGACATTTTACGTGAATTTTGATGACCAGTAAAAGTTTTGTGAATTGTAGTCTACATGAATTTTGTAAAGAACCGGGACATTTAAATGTTTGAATAATTTCTGAAAAATCTACTCGTGTACCTAGTCAAAAATGGTGATTTGGGGGAAACTATCATAAATAATGGTCGTTATTGAGATTTCAAGAAATGATCAAGGCCGTTCCCGCAAACACAAGAAATCATCACAAATTTCGCAGTGATTGAAAAAATAGTTGCAAAAAGGAGTTATATTGCCGCGACCACAGGTAATTGGATCTTGGAATTGCTGCAATTGCAGGAATCATCACAAATTTTGTGGTGATTTCAAGATGCGTGTACGGATGTCGTCATCACCAGAAAACATTACAGGTGTTGCCTTGATCACAAGCATATATTGTTGTTCAAAGGTTTATTGCGGATATTTTCCATCACAAATGTAAAAAACAATACACAACGTTTCGGGATCTGGAATCTGATCCCGTCTTCAGGTGAAAAAAACTTAACTAACACATTACAACTAACAATACACAAACGCCCAACCTAAGTTGGAATACACTACAGAGGGTAGTAGTAAAAAAAAAAAAAAAATACTACTGATAATCTAGTTGTTCTATTTCTTATACAAGAATATTATTCACACATCTTGCTTGAACAAACTCTATTTTCAAACTAAACCAATGTTTACAAAAACATCTGACAACAAACATATTTAAACACATGATAAAAAGAACAGACTTAATACAACATCCCGCTTCAAGATGTCCCACATCTTTATGAACCTCAGTACCGCCTCGGTTTCTTAATGGACCTTCCGTAACGGGTTACTGTGCCAGCTCCTGGACGATCACGTGAGTTGCATGGACGATTAAGGACCATGGATGAACAGTTTGAAAGAATTCCATCTCCTCCGTAGTACGGTGCAGGAACTAAGAACTTCCTGTTTCGGCGAATAGTTCTCTTGTCAGTTTCCACAAGGTAGGAACGTGGTTCGTTCAATTTCCTGACTACCTTACCGTGTCGACGTAGATCTGTGATCCATACCATGCTTCCAACTTCTAATTCACTTAAACCACTCGCTCCATGTCGTTTATCAAATTGTATCTTGTACTTATTCTGGTACTTATTCTCCCTCTCAAGAAAATTCTTATTTTCCACAGGATTTCCAACCAAAGTAGATGGAAGATTGTCTCTTAATTTCCTTCCAAACATAAGTTCAGATGGGGAAAAGCCGGTTTCAAGAGGTGAGGTCCGGTAAGAAAGTAGGGCAAGTTCAAATTTATCCTGGTTTTTCTTCATTAGCCCTTTTGCTACTTTCACAGCTGCTTCAGCTGCCCCATTTCCCTGATGGTGGTGGGGACTACTTCTGAATGTGGAGAACCCCCACTCCTTTGCAAACAATTTAAATTCACTTGAGTCAATATGGTGAAATTGTGTCCCACTATCTGAATAAACACGTTGAGGAATTCCAAAACGTGAAAATGTGGTTTTGCAAACCCGAATCACATCTGAAGCCCTCATTCGATGCATTTCCTCGACTTCAAAGTATCTTGAGTAGTGATCCACGATAACCATATACCACTTGTCTTCGTGTTTGAACAAGTCAACAGACACATTTTGCCACGGGTAATCCGGGACAGTTCTCGGAATCAATGGTTCACTGTGATTAGTTGAGTTCTGAATACACACTGGACACGATTTGATTTTCCTTTCTATTTCTTGAGAAATTCCAGGCCACCACATGGTTCCCAAAGCACGTTTCCTTGTTTTTGTGATTCCCAAGTGTCCACTGTGAAGCCTCTCGAGCATTTCCGCTCGTAGTTCTTGAGGTATTATCATCCGAGTTCCTCGAAGCAATAGCCCATCAATACAACTTAACTCGTCTTTCACATTAAAGTACTCTTGAATCTCATTAGGTAAACTTGATTTTACAGGCCATTCGTCTAAAATTTGTAACTTAAGTTGTGCACAGATTGGATCTCTCATTTGTGAGTGAAGTACCTTTGTCACATTTTCATCTGTAGTGTTTATACTAATCAGACTGATTTCGTGGACGAAGGCTTCCACTTCTTCGGTCAATTCGCCATCTTCGTCAGCCGGAATAGGACTTCTTGATAGTAGATCTGCTATGGCAAGGTCTTTTCCTGGGGTCCAGGTCATGCGATAATCGTATCTCATCATACGCATTCGGAACCGCTGTAGCCTCGGTGAGAGCTCGTCCAAATTTTGTGTTTTGAAAATTGAGACAAGCGGTTTGTGGTCGGTCTCAATTGTGTACATTTTACCCATCAGGAAACATTTCAAACGGTCACTTGCCCATGTGCACGCAAGCGCTTCTCTCTCAATGTTACTGTAGTTTTCTTCAGCAGGCGTTAGAGTCCGAGATATATATGCCACAGGTTTCTTGTTTTCTCCTTCAACTTGAAGTAAAACCGCTCCAAGACCTTTTTTTGAAGCATCGCAAGAAAGAATCGAGGGTTTTTGCGGATCGTAAACAGTCAAACATGGCTCTGATGATAAAATCTGTTTTACTGTGACAAAAGCGTTTTCTTGAGCTGGTCCCCAAAAGAAATCGTTTTTAGTCTTTAACAAGCTCGTAATTGGCTCCAAAATCTCACTGCGGTTCGGAATAAATTTTGCCAGAAAAGTGATCATGCCCATGAATCTTTGTACTTCATTAGCGTTTCTTGGAGCTGGTAAGTCCACAATCGCTTGTACCTTGCTTGGATCAGGCTTGATTCCGTCCATAGACAGCACAAACCCCAGAAATGTCACAGTCTTCTTGCAGAACTCCGACTTCTGCTTATTCAAGGTGATTCCATTAGCTTGCACTCTCTCTAGAACGGCCCTAAGACACTCGTCGTGTTCTTCTTTCGTTCTTCCCCATATCAGACAGTCGTCAATGTGCACTAAACAGTTCTTTGCCCCTTCTAAAGCTTTTGACATGCGGCGCTGAAACTCTTCAGGAGCGGACGTAATTCCAAAAGGTAACTTACGGAATTTATACCTCCCAAAAGGGGTGATAAATGTTGTGTAATCTTGTGACTCCTCTGCAAGGTTCAGTTGCCAGAACCCGGAATTCGCATCGATCTTGCTGAAGTACTTGGCTCCCGCGATCTCGGCCAATGAAAGTTCGATCTTTGGGATAGGATAAAACCGACATTTCACACTGTTGTTGAGTTTGGATAGGTCTACGCAGATCCTAACCCCACCTCCCTTTTTTGCGCAAACTACCATTGGTGCGCACCAATCAGTCGCGTGTTCAACTGGAACAATCACTCCTTTCTCAAGCATATCGTCTAACTGCTCTTTCACCTTGGTTTTTAAAGGTATTGGTACAACCCTGGGGGTGGATATAGCGTAAGGAACTGCATTCTCCTTCATTTCAATCTTGTACTCTCCTTTCATATTTCCCAGCCCTTGAAATAAATTAGGATACTTAGTAGCCCAGTCAATATCATGTGAATCTACAGAAAAAATTCTCCTCACCAGGTTCAGCTCTTCACAGGAACGTCTGCTAAGAAGTGGAACAGTGATCTCCTCAGAAATATACGCAAGATCATAAACTGATACACCCTTATGTTCAAGCTTTAGCCTTAAAGTCCCCAAAATATTGATTCGTTCTTTCTTCTTTGCGCTAAACACAGGGGATTTGCACTTTCCTAGAGGCAGAGTCTTAATAAAATCACCAAGAACTCCTACTGGAATCATGGTTACATCAGCTGCTGTGTCAAGTTTAAATTTTATAAGACCTAAATCTTGGTTTCCACAGCTTGCTTTTACCTCCTGGACCCAGGCTTTGTCACTGCTGTCTATATTCCCTATGAAAATCTCAGGAACCTGTTGATAACCACTGTCTGAATCTTGCTGTTCGATTTCCTTAACAACGTTTTTGTTTTTTCTCATCCACTTTTCGCGGGAGGGACAACATCGAAAAAAATGTCCAATCTCGGAACATTTGTCACATTTGGCTTTCCTAGCAGGGCATTCGGCCAGTGATCCGTGCCAGTTATAACCACATTTCCTGCACTTTTTTCTCATAGCATCCTCGGTGAATTTCTGTTCACCAGCTCTTTCAGACAGATTTGTTTTACCGACTTGTATTGACGTTTGATTCACCATAAAAACATTAGTATTGGCGAGCTCACGTTTTTGGCGTTCTAGCTCCTCGTGTTGGCGCAAGGTATTAATCGCCTTCTCCAGAGTCAATTGAGAGTCCAGCTGGAGTCTATCACTTAGAGCCTCATCTTTCATACCAATAATGAGGACCAGAAGCACCATCTCATTGTTCAGTTCACCCCATGCACACGTTTTTGCAAGACCATGCAAATCTGTTATGAATTTTTCAGATGGATCACTCCCTTGCTTGTGTCTCAGAAATTTTGTTCTCTCATAAATGATATTTCGTCTTGGCACAAAGTATGCATCAAAGGCCCGAAGAGCCTCGTCATAAGTATTCGGTTTTGGTGAAAACGAATCGAAAATATCTTCACTCCTACTACCCATTGTAAACAAAAGTACATCGATTTGCCGAGCGTCGGAAGTGCTATCTAGACCGCACCCCCGTCTGTACCTTTGAAAGCGATTCCTCCAGGAATGCCACTCATTCGGAGTAAAAGAGAAGGTATCTGGAGTTGGTAACGTCAGATTTATCATAGGAGTAGGAGTACACATTACTGCATTATTTTCTCGGTTTGTCTGTCCCAATGCAAAACCTAGTGACTCACCTTCAGTCTTTCTAGAATCCCTTTCTGACATGTAGTTGAATTCACTTTGGGCATCCTCCTCATTGTCCTCATACCTTTGCCTACGAGTATTTCGTTTTTTTCTGCCCTTACTTGACATCATGCGTGGTTTTAGACTTTGTTCGATAAAAATCCACTAAGCTGCCACCATGTTCTATTTCTTATACAAGAATATTATTCACACATCTTGCTTGAACAAACTCTATTTTCAAACTAAACCAATGTTTACAAAAACATCTGACAACAAACATATTTAAACACATGATAAAAAGAACAGACTTAATACAACACTAGTTATACAATTTCATGAACAAATATGGTTTCTAAGTAATTAATAGCTAGCTTGTATTGGACTTCAGTCTCATTGGTGGAGTCATTGCGTACGGTGCTATTAGTGTTCCATTGTGTGAGTTTTTTACGTTAAACCTTAAAGATTATAGTGTTTTATGATTTGTTATTAATTGCATGTTGTATCATGACGACTGCTATACAGTGCATATATTTTTTTTGACTACTACCCTCTGTAGTGTATTCCAACTTAGGTTGGGCGTTTGTGTATTGTTAGTTGTAATGTGTTAGTTAAGTTTTTTTCACCTGAAGACGGGATCAGATTCCAGATCCCGAAACGTTGTGTATTGTTTTTTACATTCGTGATGGAAAATGTCCGCAATAAACCTTTGAACAACATTAACTCACCATCACCAACAATGAACTTCAAACAAAGCATATATTGTTGCGCTGATAAGTTGTGAGGGGGGGGGGGGCAAACTTCATTGGCTAGAGGCGGCAGCTACTTAAATACGTCCCTGTTAGCAGGTATACATTTTTTTGAGCGGCATAATTTTGAACTTGGAAATCCTGCATTTTATTTAAAGGGACGCTGGATACCCTGTAAAAATACCCAGCTTGCTACATCTGTTATGTAAGTTAAGATTATTGCTCTTTTATTGTTTTACATAGCCATACTTTGGACTAACAATCAATCAATACAAAGTTTGTTTTACTAAAATCTAATCTATGTATTTTGTCTTTGCAGTTGGACAAACACCTCATCTTGCAAACACTGACGTCTTCACTGGGTTTTTACTATCAGCACAACTTGAATCCAGTGGAGAAAAAAACAAGGAGATATCATTGGAAGTTTTCTTAATGAATAACCTAAAGCTTACCGTAACATGTAATGTGAACGAAAGTTCAAGTCAGATACTGGAGGTAATTTACAATGTCATCTTTCAGCTGTATCATTATAGTAAATAAGATCTTTTAATTGCATAGGCCTATTTTAAACTAATTAGGATTAGGCCTACGTTCTGAAATCACTATGAACATTACATTATCACGATATTATTATCACAGAGGTTTGGCTTGCTAATTTGGTTTAGTTGTAAGATTTTTGTCATTTAATTTAAATCCTCTACTATGTAAAAAAATTTATACCTTTTTCCGTTACAGAAAATATGTGGGAAACTTAGTTTACCAATTACATACATGTACTACTTCGCCCTCTTCCTGATAAATCGAGATGATGACGGAGATATAACAAGTAAGTCCTTTACACTCATCCGGGCCCTAGAATAAACAAAAATATGACTACTGTATGTCCATTAAGCCTGAGGTGGTTATATTGGTTCCATGGAAAAATAGCCCAATTGGTTAAGTAGTTTTCATGTTATTAACATAGCCTACTCCAAACATTCATAATTATAATAATAATTCATTCCATCCAAGTCTTTCATTGATTTCTTGATCAGTAATGCACTAAAATTATTAACATTCTATTTCGTTTCCCAGACATTATTTTTTGGGGGAAAAAAACGCAATACTTTTTAATAAAAATTTTGAAAAAAATTAAGTTAATAAGTTGAATTTTTGTCTTTTTTTGATGGCGCGATAAACTTAAATGAGTTCGCAAACCAGCATGATCGGATTATGGGAACGAGGCTTTATAGGGGGTTTTATGGGGTAAACATTGGTTTTTCTCATTTTATAGCCTCAAAACAAAAAAAATCCCAATTTCTCTTAGTACCATTTTTTTAGAGCTTAAAAAACAAATATTTTAGTATATTGAAGGGTTTTGTCAATTATTGGTCAAGGAAAAAATTCAAAAAATCGTCACCATAAAAATACCTTGCCATTCTTATGGAGAATAAGTTAGTTTGCTTAGTTTGCTTTTTTACGATTATATTTTGATCAAACTTGGCAAATTAACTAATATTATACCAAGCTATTGTATATTGTACTAAAAACCCCACTTTATTGCCCTCCTTGTAGCAGCAAACATAAGTACTTGTTAAACATAATGTTATTTAAATAGATTTAATTGAAAACCTAATCGAGCAAATGGAAATTCGCTTAGTCTGCAGGTTTGATGCGGCGGAGGTACTTTATCGTTTATACTATGCCTGAAGATATCTAATTATATGTTTGTTTCAGTTTTACGTAAGCTACAAGACTTTGAATCACCCTACATATCACAAAAGACTTATAAGGATCCCACTACACTAGTTATCAGAAAAAGGTACTTTAATTTAACTGGTTATTACTTATTTTGTTACATCGCCTACTGTAAAAATACTTCTATTTGACCTAATATGGATTATCATCAAAGTAGAACCATTGGAAACATTTTATATACTAAAGTAGTTATTAGACATCCCATTAACAAGGGCTTTAAAGAAAGTAAGGAACGTTTCTATCTGACGCTGCTGAACGTATACCGATTTTGCACTTGGAAATACATTCGTGTTCACCTCCTCAGTGACTGTCCAGCTGTCACAGTTTTGCCCATTGTTGCAATATTAAAGTTTAAAATGTGCACTGAAATAAAAATTCCTGCTAGTTGTGATGTGTGAGGTGTTATACTGTTGATTTTTTTTTTGCCAAAAACTTAAAACCGTTAGAGATTTATTGTCAAGTGAGTGAAGCATACAGAACATAAACAATGTAATGAGTGAATGAATGAATGACTGAATGAAAGTTACATCTGAAAATACATTCAGTTAAACAGTATTCAATGACCACATCATACCAGTTTGCTTTTTTTCAGTTACACATTTTTGAGTAAGCCAAAAAATCTAATTTGACTCTTGCTGAAAAACAGCAGAGAAATAATAAACCTCAAAATTTGCTCAATATTTTTTATCACTCCAGCTTGACCATTACCAAATTTTCTATTTTAAATTATGTGTAGTTTTGTAGTTATATAATTTTATTTGGTTATTCATTGACTTGGTACAGGAAATACACAATCCTTTTGCCAACACTTAGTTTTCTAAGACTTATAAAAAAGTCTTGTCCACATAATTTTTTTGGATACCAACGTCTTTTCCGTCCTCTTTTTGAGTCAGTGAGGCAGAACTTTGAACTTAACATAAACAAGATTTCCCACTTATTGACATTACTTTTTCAAATGATGATAATGTTAGTTCTGTATGATGTTTGCAGTTACTGGGACCCTGTATATGATGAAGAGTTGATGGGAGACAAGATAGCTTTGAACCTCCTGTACACACAGACACTGGCTGAGATGGAGAGAGGCTGGATATTGTGTACCAGGGACACCCAGGCTCAGCTGGCATCTCTGCAGGCTAGAGGAGCTAAGAAACAGGTACTGTACCTACAGCAACTTGGATCATTGTAACATTTTTCAATAAATATTGGCTTTTTGTAACTTAATTTCGTTGGCTGATGATAATCCGATTTTTATTGGGAACTAGCAGAGTACCCGTCCTTCGTACGGGGTTAGCATATAAGTATACTTATTGCAGTTATACTCAAGCTTTGCGTTTGCAATGGGGGAGAACACAGTTTGGTAAAATGTGGTTCTTTAAATTTACGGTATGATATAGAATAACACATCTACCACAGCCATATTGTTCTACCACTTCACCTGAAAAAAATAGAGAAAATAAATTATAAAAAATTCGTAAAATTATATAAATTCGATCCATAAGCTAGGAAATACAAGAGGACATAAATAAATGAAATAAAGTCAAGAATGGAATAAAACTCTAATAATGTGATAAACCTTCAGAATATGATGTGATGGTTCCCTGCCTCCAGGATAAATACAGAATAAATTATTCCTTTTCATGGTGTCTTACATTTTGGAATTAGGTACTTATGGTCTTAAAAACATGATTGACAACAGCCACTACCTCAGGAAAATTTGTATTTCCCTACACAAATCATTTGAAAACTTTAAAGTTTTAGTTTTGGATTTGGGTTGCCAAGTAACTATGTCGGTTGAACAAAATAGCAAGAAAAATGTAAACAATACCCCCGCCGCAGCAAACCTGCTGACTAAGCGAATTTTCAGTTGCCTGAATTGATTTTCAATTAAATGTATTTAATTAACATTAGGTTTTTATGAGTACATAGGCTTGCTGCTACAGGGAGGGTAAAAAGTGTGTTTTTTAGTAAAATATTAATAACTTAGTGTAAAATAAATAAATTTACCAAGTTTGATCAAAATATATCTCCCATAAACAAGCAAACTACAACATTTTACAATATTCTCCAAAAGAATAACATGGGAATTTTAAAATAACAATTAGCCTATTTGAGTTTTCTCCCTAACCAATAATTGTACAAAAACACTTTGGTATACTAAGTTAAATTATTTGTTTTTAAGCTGGGAAAATAAATCTCTATATATATATATACATATAAAACATTTGAACTTGAACGAATGGTGTTTATGGCATCTAGGGATATCAAAATGAAAAAGCAAATCGGTCCCCAGGCCTAGGTCTTACCAAGCCACCTACGGTAATAGCCACTTACCTATAGGGAAATTTGCTAAAATGACAAACTGTACAAAGCGATACATGTTTTATGAGCTCAACAACTTAACTCATTTTAACAAGTACTTAGAACTAGGGGTCTGCGGGTCAGACTTTTTTGGTTCGGGTCGGGTCGGGTCAGGCCGATAATTTTGGTCCTCGGGTTTCAGGCCAAAATCGGGTCGGGCCAAAAATTATTAATTACCGGATTTTTTATATTTTTTTAACTCCTATCTGTGTTTTTAATATTACTTGAAAATAACATATGGGAAAAAAATGTATTTATGTATATTATTTCATGTTCATAACTTATTTACAGCTTAGAAGTTGCCTCAACTGCAAGAAAGAAGAAAATAATTTTTTTTATCAAGCCATTCTTTCCCATTTTCATAACTGTTGAAATATCTAAACAGCTATATTACAACAAGTTTGTAATGGAACTTAATATAAAAGGATCATAAACAAATCAATTAACCTTATCACAAGTTTAGGGCCTGTGGACTGGCTTCAAGATTTTTTTATCAAGCCATTCTTTCCCATTTTCATAACTGTTGAAATATCTAAACAGCTATATTACAACAAGTTTGTAATGGAACTTAATATAAAAGGATCATAAACAAATCAATTAACCTTATCACAAGTTTAGGGCCTGTGGACTGGCTTCAAGACTGCAAGCAAGAAGAAAATAAAAATTCTATGTTTCCACCATGCAATATGAATCATTCATTCCCTGCCTCCTAACCTCCTAAGTACAAAAACCTCACACTTACAATAGCATTATTAGTTACATCATCATAAATAAAGAATTATCTATTATTGGCATTAGTAGTCCTACAGCTTTACATAGGAATTATTTTTTATAGGGCCTAAAATAGTAATAGACTAAGCAACATGACAAGTGGAGAACTCATTGAAGAAAAGATATTGTGTAAACTAATTTACTATAAAACTCTAAAACAGTAAAAATAGCACACATACATTGTTTATGGTATAGTTATAGTAAAGACTGTAAAAATTGCATATCATGTCATAGGTACACAGTTATAGATACACAGTTATAGGCACAGTTATAGGTATTGCAAGAGATCCTAAAACAACTGATTTTAGCTAATAAATGAAAAGAATTAAAAATCCATAAACTCAAGTCAAACAATATCACAATTATTAGGTACCCAAAAAGGAACTCTTAATATATAGAAAATTATATTAAATCAAGAGAAAGGAAAGTTAAATGCTAATTTGGCAACATAAGCAGACAGCAGAGACATAGTGCCCTAATTAGCAACACAACTCAATGTTTTTATACTGTAAGTCAATGTTTTTGAAACCGTAGGGTCTTTTTCTCGGAAGGAAGGGTAGTAGAATGTAAACAAAAAACCATGAATCACTCTCACAGCCGGGACACTCAAGGTTACAGACCCTCCCCCTCCCCTCCCCTCCCCTCTTACACAACCCGAGCCAGGCCCGGGGACACTCAAGGTCATAGACCCTCCCCCTCCCCCACCCCTATTACACCACCTGGTTGTTCCAATTGCTGACAAAATGCAAGTAACAAAACAAGGAAGTAGAGACAAAAAGATATATTTTCTTTATTCAAAAATATAAAACTGTTACAGATAATTTATAAAGAAATTAATTCATGGTAGTTTGTGTCTTGTAAATATTGTATTGGATCTTAGAAATATCTTTTTTGAAACTCTTATCTAACCTAAGAAAAAAATAATTTTACTGATGAAAACTTTCATAAAATAAAATATAAAATATATTTAGGCCTAACCTCTTTGTAGACTTGCTGATACTTGATACTTAAAAAAAATGAAATAGTGACCATACAATGCCTAACCAGACGATCAGAAGTGTTGTTTTGTTTTGTTACTGAATGACAAAAAGGACAATAGGAAAATAAAAGAACAAGATACAGATCTGTACACTATATCAGATATTTCTTTTGTTTATAATTTATTATGTAAATAAAATACTAAAATATATTTTAAACTAGGTATGGAATAAACAATAAATAATTAAAATGGGACCTCTGGATAAATAGTCTTTCTTATGACTTCGTTTTCTTTGCACTGTTGAGTCACGGCTTTTGTTTTGTCAGTAGACGACTGGCTCTGGCTAGTGACAGTAAGGCAATTGCTCTGTTGTGTCTTTGTTCTTAAACGTGAGCAAACTTAATATTTAATTCTAATTTTAACATTTTAATTCCTCTGTAATAATATATATAAGAGTGTTTCTTTGAAAATTACTTATTATAACTTTGAAAATAATAATAATTTTTTTTGGCCCGACCCGATCTTGGCCCGAACAAATCTCTGACCCGACCCGGTCTCTCGGGCCTTCCGCTGGCCCGACCCGACCCGAAAAAATCGGGGACCCGCAGACCCCTACTTAGAACTACTCTACTCGACCTTGAGCACTCTAAAAACTTGTCACTTAATAAAATAGCAATGGGGTTTCAATTGCATCATTACTCCCCAGTAATAAATTTTGAAAGTTGTAAACAAACTTCTGATAGACCTAAGACCTTTTATGTGCTTCTAATAGTGATGGGCCGATTCCTGAATTGGTCGATTCCAATACCGATTCCGATTCTAAAACTTTGGTTTTGATTCTCGATTCTGCACTCGATACCGATACCTGCTCATTAAAATTCATTTAATGACACATATAATTTATGTGTGCTTCTCGCTATCCCTATAAATAAAGGAGCATGTTATTTAATAATGTTATTTTTATTTAATCTTTATACAATAAGATAAGTTCATTGCTATTGATTAAGGTTACATAGATTAGGTTAGCGAAGTATCGAATATCGGCGATTCTTCGATACCACTGGTATCGAAGGTAACGAGAATCGGAATCGGCCCATCCCTAGCTTCTAAGCATTAAACTGAAACACACTTTATATGTCTATTCTCGGTTTCGGTTTTCCCCTAAAACCTGTTACAAACCCATCTCTATTCTCAGGTCTACTTGTTACCATGAGACCTATATACCTTATTCCCAATATAGGGAATTTGCTAAATGTATTTCTAATACTCTGTATGTTGTGTCCAGTACTTGGAGATTGCCAGAAACCTCAAGTACTATGGCTACACACAGTTCCTGCCCTGCACATGTAACTACCCAGACCCAGGCACAGCATGTGTGGTGAGCGCAGGATACAAGGAGTTGTGTCTCCGGGTCAAGCTGGACGGTGGCGACACTCGGGAAGGAGCGTTCAAGGTCACACGCATGAAGTGCTGGCGAATCACCATACACAATGTGAGCATTATGTAGTCTGGTAGACAAGGATAACAAGGATAAAGCATTATGGATAACTGATAATCCGTTTAAGTGGAGACTGTGTGTAGTGTACTCAAGTTGTTTACCATGCAATACTAAGTTCTATGGGATATAGTCATGCTATTATCATTATTTGAACATGTTTATTGTCACATGGACTGCATTAACTGTCCTTGCGACTCTTGTAAAGGCGCTAAAGTAAATTTTATGTACGATGCTTTTTGTAATTGGTGTTTTGTGCGACTGATTTGGATTTCGATTTTGGTAAAGTCAAAGTGAATGAATATAGTAAAACAGTTTAAGAAAAGTATTTATGGAGTGTTTTGCAGGTTGAAACGTTTTTAGGATGGCTGGTCCTGCTGAGACTGCCATTAAAATACATGGCTTTATTAGACTGAAAAGTCTGTATTGGACAGTGAACCACTAAATGTATGATAAACTCTTTCATTAAATAATACACATCGATAAAGGATTGTCCAAAGATATAACAACAAATATAACTTAACCCTAGCAGTGGCCAATGTTAGAAGTGTGGAATGGTCAATCCATTTTGGCGATTTTGCAGACCTTTTTTTGAAAATTCGTAAAAATTAAACCTTAGAAGTAAACCTAACCAACCTCATATTCCCATCAAATATTTTAAATGGCCGCCATTTTGAAACGGTTAATGATTGTTTAGTATAATTTCTATTGATAATAGGTCTTATAAGATTAACATTTTTGCAAAATATCAAAGCTGTATCTCAAACCGTTTAGGAGTTATTAGTTTTTTTGTAAAAAACACATAAATACCGACAGTCGGTAAACTAGACACCACAGACCCATGTTCCTATGGTGAAATGTGTTTGTCTTGACCTAAGGAATAACGCTATATACAAGTGCCTAGAGAGTTACGGGACACCAAGTGTTTTACAACCGTTACAAAAGTTTTGGCCCATACTATCTAGGGGTGAGGTTCATAAGGTCCAAATTTCACAAAGTCCAATGGTTAAAATATTAATAAACAGAGCGTTTCACAAGGTCCAAATTTCACAAGGTCCAACAGTTAAAATATTAATAAACAGAGCGTTTCACAAGGTCCAAATTTCACAAAGTCCAACGTTAAAATATCAAATGAACAGAGCGTTTCACAAGGTCCAACAGTACAGTCTCGGCCAGAAGTCGCTGCAGAGGTTGCCGTGGTTCGGTATGTAGGCACTACACTACCTAGTGTTGTTGCCACGCGTCACAAAATATCATTGTGGGTCCGTAGATACGTTGTAAAGAATGTAAAGTAGTGGTATTCACCCCCTCCGCAGCAAACCTGCAGACTAATCGATTTTCCATTTCCCTTATTTGATTTACACTAGAATATCTCCTTAAAATAATCACATGTATTCCCTATTTAAATAGCATTAGTGTAACAAGTACCGTACTTAGGTTTGCTGCAACAGGGAGTAATCAGTAATCAGTAGTTGAGCGCCGGCGGACGGTACCTGCTATCTGACTGTGGCAACCACTGTAGAGACTTCTGGCCCAGACTGTACCATTGGACCTTGTGAAACGCTCTGTTTATTTGATATTTGAAAGTTGGACTTTGTGAAATTTTTTTTTTTTTTTTTTTTTTAGGGTGAGGAGGGAAAATGCTTTTACGCACACAGGTAGCCAGCCTGTAGTGTGAGACTCCTGAGTTTATCACAGACTACTCACTAAAAAACCCCCTCTACTCTGTTGGACACAGACCTGGAATTGTTTGTCACATTACTTCAAGTCAGGCCAACATGTGACCTAAGCCCACAGGGCTCGCACCGTTTCTGGCATTATTTATTTTTTTGACCTACACCGCATCCCGGTCGAGGTCAAGCTTCTTGGCGCGGAGAACACCCTGGATGTAAAGTGACACACAGGTCCAATTGTCCTCACCCTCCATCATCATTGGTATGACCGTGTCCACCGACAGCAGTCCTACGAACTGTTGAGCCTCTAGGCGGGGCCTTTCCCAATGCTGGCAGCGGAAGAAAGTGTGTTCCACGTCATCGGGAATGCCTGGGCAGTATATGCAATCGGGTGACACGGCTTTGCCCATCCTGAACAAGTACGACCGGAAAAACCCGTGACCCGTCAGAAATTGGGTGAGGTAGATTTCACCTCTCCGCACCGCCGATTAACCCAAGGTTGGACCTGTTGTATCAGCCGCCTGGTCCAGAGCCCCCTTGTCTCCTGTTTCCAGCTCTCCTGCCACAGCTGGAAGGTCCGGGTGCGTTCCTCAATTCTTGCCTGGTCCTCCCCACGGCGCTGATAAATTGCCTTCCTCTCCGCCGCCAAAAGTTTGACGGGGATTACTCCAGCAACCACCAGGACGGCGGGTTCGGACACTGTTCGATAGGCAGATGCTACCCTTAGTGCTGCCTGACGCTGCACTCGGGCGAGCCGCATCCTATATATCTCCTTATTGAGAGCGTCTGCCCAGACTTCCGCACCGTACAGGAGCACGGACTGGACCGCAGACATCAACAGCCTTCTGCGGCTGGACCGCGTACCTCCGACATTGGCCATTAACCGACTAAGGGAAGAAACCATTTTAGCGGCCTTGTCCGCCGTACGGGTGATCTGGTCTCGCCAGCTGAGCTTGCTGTCCACCATGACCCCAAGGTACTTTGCGGCACGAGTGGTTTGGACTTCAACTTTCCCCACCATCAAAGGCACGATGGTGTCAATCCTCTTTTTAGTCAGAATCACAATCTCAGTTTTGCTCAGAGCGAGCGAGAGACCATGTTCTGCCATCCATGCGTTAATGGTTCGCATGACTCGATTTAGTTTCAGCTGGGCAAGCTCAATGCTACGTGCAGCTATTAAAACCGCAACGTCATCTGCATACCCAACTAGGACAGTTTCCTCAGGCATCTCAGATCTCAAGAGGCTGTGGTAGGCGACGTTCCAGAGGTCCGGTCCCAATATGGATCCTTGAGCAGCACCAGAAGTTACATCCATCGTCCTGGAGCCTTCTTTAGTGTCGTAAATGATGAGGCGGTACCGGAGATAGTCCTCTATCATGCGCATGAGGTATGCCGGGATGTGGAAAGTGTTCTCCAGTGCGTCCAGCATATCGCACCACCTCGCGGAATTAAATGCGTTTTGCACATCAAGTGTTACAAGCAGCACAACCCGACGAGAATAGTTGTTAAACTCCTCAGCTCTCATTACGGCTCGCTTTACCTCCTCAATAGCGTCAACCGTTGACCGTCCCTTCCTGAAGCCGTACTGACGAGGGGATAGATTTCCTGCAGCAACCACGGCTGAATTCAGTCGGGAACGGATCAACTTTTTCAAGACTTTCCCAGCAGTGTCCAACATACAGAGAGGTCTGTAAGAGGAGGGTAGGTCTGGGTTTCCTTTTTCCTTCCCCACGAGCACAAGCCTAGCTGTTTTCCAGCAGAAGGGAAACTTCCCCTCGGCCAGACAGGCATTGTACGTGCTCAAAAGGATTAGTGGATTTATTGAAAAGACTTTCTTCAGGGCCTCACCAGGTACCCCATCCGGTCCAGGAGCCTTGTTGTTCTTCAGGGATAGAACGGCCGCCTCCAACTCCTCGAGACTGAACAGCGGTACATCGTCCACCCTTCCGAACTCCCGCAATGGGCGCAGTGTGTGAGTCGAGAAAAGGGACTTTACGATCCTCTCCATAGAGGCCCCGTCCATAACGGAAGGTGGAGAGCGGGTGCCAAGCTTCTTGGTTACTATCTTGTAACCCAGGCCCCACGGATCGGAATCGACATCGTCCCTTAATTTCTCCCAGCAACTGCGTTTGCTCCGGTTAATGGCCCGGCGAAGAGACTTCCTAGCCACCTTGTAAGCATCAGACTTAAGACGTCTATCTACAGGTTCTCTGGCCCTGGTAGCAAGACGTCTGGCTCTCAATGCTGTCCGTCGCAGTTCTGCGATCTCGGTTGTCCACCAGTACACAGGTCGCTTATCGCACCGGGATCTCCTGCAAGGCATTGACTCTTCGCAGGCCGAGACTATCAGCCTCATCAATGATGTAACTGATGTCAGCACGCCAGATGCAGCAGGTACCACTGGCTCTCCCCGTAGTATGACTTCGGTGAATTTGGCCACGTCCAGCTTTTTGGTGTTCCACCGAACGGGCACCTGCTGAGACACAGTAGCTTGTCTCTGATGACCATCCAGGACATCAAAAATTATGTACTGGTGGTCACTGGCCGTATAATCCTCTAGGACTCTCCAGGCTCGTATCCTCGGCAAGAGGGACTCAGATGCAAGCGTGATGTCTGGGATCGTTCCCCTCATTCCGGGACGCTGGAAAGTTGGCGTGTTGCCCTCGTTAATGACAACGAGTCCAGCCCTGGCAGCAAAGTCCAGGATGTACTTCCCCCGGGAATTAGTGAGAGTCATTCCCCACTCGACAGCCCTAGCATTGAAATCCCCCGCCACGACAACGTGCCCGGCGGTATCGTGCACGCTCTCTTCCAGGTGGTCTATCTTTCCACGAAAGTCACGGATAGCCTCGTTGGGGGTGAGGTATACACTAAAGTAAGTGACATCCCCGCACCGGACCCAAACGAATCCTCGGCCCTTCGCGTGACTCCTCACCTGCACTTTAGCTGTATTACGAACCCAGAACGCAGCAGTACCAAGTGAAATTTGGACATTATGAAACAGTGATTATTTGAATTTAATAGTTTTGGACTTTATGAAATTTGGACCTTGTGAAACGCTCTGTTTATTTGATTTTTTAACATTGGACTTTGTGAAATTTGGACATTGTGAAACGGTGATTATTTGAATGTTATAGATTTGGACTTTATGAAATTTGGACCTTGTGAAACGCTCTGTTTATTTAATATTTTAACCGTTGGACTTTGTGAAATTTGGACTTTATGAAACGCTCCCCATTCTAGGCGTCACGGCGAACGATCGTATTACGATTGTTGGCCACTGCTAGGGTTAAAAATTTTTTTATCCACACACTTGACCTCAAAATAAAAACAACACATAAACTCTTTTAGGTAATTCAGTTGGTCAGACAGTAGCGCATTAGACTAAAAAACCCATGTCAGCAATGTCAAGGGTTCTTGTCCTTATGTTGCCACTTCAAATTTACTAGTACAGTTTTTACCTACAGTACGTACCTGCTCACCCCTTGTTGTGCTTTGTACTTTCCACAGACAGGCAATGAAAGCCTTTGCCTTACAGACCTATGGGTTAAATGTGTTTTTGTACTCAGCATTAAAACTAGAAAAAATAGTCAATATAATTCCAGGCCACAGTGGTGAATAGTTTTTTTTTTCAAACTGGTGCTAATCCCCCCCCCCCCATAACAGGACACTGAGGAGCCACAGTTGGAACTGTCGTTTGAGTACCTGATTGCCAAGGAGCAACTTCAGTGGATCAGAATCTTCAGTGACCAAGCCATTTTGATGTCTGTGTGTCTGCAATCCATGGTTGACGAATTGTTGCTGAAGAAAGTGGGTGCTAAGATCAAACAGGTCGGTGGTGTAGTAACTTACAAAACATCGTAGGTAGGCCTACTTATGAATAATATCCTTGATAAAATATTTGTAAAATGTATTGTGATTAGTGATGGGCCGATTCCAGAACTTTGGTTTCCGATTCTCGATTCCGCACTCAATACCGATACCTGTTATGAATTCATTTAAAATAACACATATATGTGTGCTTCTCGCGATCCCCATGAATAAAGAAGCATGTTATTTTCATTTAACCTTAATAAAAACATAACTGCATTGATATTGAATAAAAGTTTACATAGATTACATTAGTCTATAAAGAAAATAAGATACTTTAAAAAGATATACATTTTAACATATTTTATTAAATTGAAACAGCAAACACCTGTTTAGGTAGGCCTGAAATTTTCACTGAGTTTTTTGTTTGCATAAGCATATTTATATATATATTTGCCTACATTGAATGTTTCATATTGCTTGAGTTAAAGTCATCTTCGATATTGTTATAATCAACTAGCTGTTGTACCCGTGCTTTGCAACGGGAAGAGGACACAAAATAGAAACATTTTAATCTTTATCTCTTGCATATAATAGTTACACATCCGCTCACAATAAATCATTAGCAAAACTAACTCAGCTGTTACAAACTTTTGAAATATTTCTGTGCCTTATCAATACAGTCTTTTGAAATATTAAAGAAACTATATCTATAGGTACTATAAAAAAATTCAAACAAATAATTTAGCATTAAAGACAGCAGACAAAACTAATATGATTATCAAAGCATCAAGGACTAAAACATGTAATAGCAAATACAATATATGTTTCATTGCATCTCTGATTCTACTATACAAAAATATCAACAACTTAATATACAAACCAGTTCTTTTAATTAGTTCCATCGTCCATTGCCTTTACGTTTTCACACTTACCATTAAGAAAACATAGTAACAGATATTTCATTGATTTTAGAAACAAAAGAACACTGTGTACTGCTTAGTTTTTTTTTTTTAAATTCACTGAACTCAGTGTACAGATGTGAATGACTCTCTGTCACAGAATCACAAAATAAATGTTCTGCTCTAGTTGAAATGATTAGTTATTGAATGGTTAAACCACACAATCTTCTGTGGTTACAGCCCACTATAAAAGCCAAGAATGGATGCTACAACTATATGAAGAGAGACGGTAGCAATCATCAGATCAGTGTTAGCCAGTCCAGTTCATTTGACTGCCTCACCAGTCCAACTGTAAGTATTGCTTAAACCACATTAAGCCTACGCTCCACGACGCGTTGCATGGCGCGCCACGTGACGGTGAAAATGCACGTTCTGGAGCGTCGGTGCGTGTATAGGTACACTCACGATCTGTCCCGCGACGCGTGTCATGGTGGTCTGGGGGCCACAGTAAATAGTGTACAAGATAGAGACATCCGTACTACACTGTATTTGTATTGACAGAAAGTATACCTATGCAAGAGCAAATTGCTGTTTCTTTGAGATTTCTTGTCACTGGGAACAACTATGTTAGTCTTGTCATTTTTGTTCAGACAAACTGTATCAAGATGCGTCAATGATGATTGCATTGCGTTAATTGAAGAACATGAAAATGAAATAAAGGTAAATAATTTTCGTATAAAGGATATTATACGTCAGGTTACTTTACCTTACAGGTTATAGGCTGTTACTTTTATTAAAGTTAAACATTAAAATAAATTATGTCCACTTTTTAAAATGACTCTCAAATATTATTGATTAATTGATAGTATTTATTTAATTTCTTACGACAACAGTTTACAAAACATGTATAACTAAATAGGACTAGCACAGGGAGGTCTTCGCTCCAACCCGCGCCTTTGATGTTAACCGACATTTTGCGGGAAAGGACGCGCAACCCCGCTCCACGCCACTCTTGCGCGTACCACCACGAACTTACCCTATCCCACGCCGCGCAACGCTCCGTGGGACTTAGGCTTTAGATTTAGCATTTTTTCACAGTACCGGTACAGTAGAACCCCTCATATTTTTACTCAGGTTTTCCAACCTCACTTTATTTGGTTAGCCTACTCGAAGTCAACTCACAGTTAGTTGACTTCTCAATTCTTATAGTTCATATCTGCTTCTGGTGTAACTCAGTATATCTATTTATAAACCATTAATCTTTTGGCTTTGGTAAAATTTACATTAAATTATAAACATTGTTTGTTACAATGAGTTAAAATAGTTTTAAAGTGGATAAGTACCGTAACAAAGAAATTATAATTTTGTTTTCTACTGTAATTATAATAACAGTAGTGTTTTTTTATTTAACTTGGGTTTGTTTACCTTAACAGTATACTTAATTGTTTAATGAGGTTTGACCAAAGAAAATACATTTCTAGAGCTATAAAATATGTGAAACAACTATTCATATCTTGCCTGAGACTTAACTTATACTGTAAATGATGTAGTGTTTGTTGATTAAACTTGGGTTTGTTTACCTTAACAGTTTACTTAATTGGTTAATGAGGTTTGACCAAAGAAAATACATTTCTAGAGTTATAAAATATGTGAAACAACTATTCATATCTTGCCTGAGACTTAACTTATACTGTAAATTATGTAGTGTTTGTTGATTTATTTATTTAGATAACAATACTACATTACAGGCATAGAGCCCAATTACAATGCAGCATCAATCTTTAAGTCCATTTTAGAAAGTCCATGCAGTCTTCTTGGTAGGTACACACATCACAATTTACATAATATTTAACTACTAAGACAAGATAACAACCAATAAATAATAATAATAACATTTCATAAAAACAATAAATAGACATTTGAAAGACAAAGAAAATACATTTCTACGAGTTATAAAATATGTGAAACAACTATTCATATCTTGCCTGAGACTTAACTTATACTGTAAATCATGTAGTGTTTGTTGATTAAACTTGTGTTTGTTTACCTTAACAGTTTACTTAATTGTTTAATGAGGTTTGACCAAAGAAAATACATTTCTACGAGTTATAAAATATGTGAAACAACCATTCATATCTTGCCTGAGACTTACTAGCTACTGTCATGGAGTAATATCTTTTTTCCTTCCCCACCCCATCCACCCTTATCAAGATCTTACACTTTTCTGTGAACTTACGCTAACCTTTCTATAACTTTGATATGTAGGCTACTTCATGTTTCTAATTTTATATTCTATTAAATTAAGTTCTTCTACATACCTTTGTAGTGGAGGATAATTAATGTGAAAAACCCCTGACCATGACATTGAGAAGTCATGAATTGTTTCCACAATTCATCATGTAGGAATTTTTGTGTAGTTAAAACTCTGAAATAATAGTCTGTTTTTACAAAACAATATAGGCCTAATAGTTATAATTTGTATATAAAATAAAAATAGAGAAACATGTCTTTAACATGTTTGGTAAATGAAGACGAGAATATTATTTTAACGTGTAATTTTTCTGGTGTTTCCTAATTTGTTACGTTGTATGGATTAGTTTCCATTGTTAATATTTTACTAGGGTCAAGTGGGGTAAGTGGAACCAGGTTTTAGCATAGTTCAACTTTGACCTTACATTGCTCCTGGTTGTATTATACTTGTAATTGTGAAATCTTTTGTACCATAACTACAACTACTGTAATTAGCTTTTTAAATCTATTTAAATAGACAATAACTAAAAAAAAGTTTTTTCCTTAAAAATAAAAAAAAATAAAAAAATTTTGTGGTTCCAGTTGCCCCACCATGGGGGCAAGTGGAACCACCCACATCTGAATTAAGATATATTGCATTGAGAGGAATGAGGGGCAAGAGGGTCAATAGGGAATTTTTCTGTAATTCTGGGACTTTTTGAATTTTAAAAACATCTCTATCCATTTTTAAGTCACAAACTTTTTCATAAACCTTTGCAGAAAACATTGTAAAATGCAAAGAAACGTAAAATTGCAAAATCTTGTAAAAATAGGAAATTATAACAAAAAATTTTACTTGCATTGTGTGTGGTTGTAGTATAACTCTCTGGGCACATAATTCACTTGTAACAAATGTTATTTAATATATAGTTTAGTTTTTTAAATCTAGCTCATATTGTTATGGTCAGTCAGTGAAAAAACCCGTCTTCTCAGCTACTAGAACTGTTACTAATATTCCACTCGCCCCACCGGCAAAATTTTAGGGGGCAAGTGTAACCACGGTTGTAAAATCTACGTTGTAAGAAATTTAATAAATTTGAAGTGATATTCACATTCTGAATCTACATGCAAACAATAGTTAGTACACAAAATATTGTTAAATTTACTTTAAAAATGTAATTATAAAAAATTTTCAAAGTTTGACCTCTGAATTTACATTGCAAGGTCGAATGTAATCTTTTTTTTTTCAAAACTAAAAAAGTACATTTTTTTATATGTTATTTAGCTTTTTAAGGTTAAGAACCTTAAAACAAGGTCCAGAGAATACAATATAATGGCAATTAAGCTGAAACTTCTCTTATCAGTTTATTGATAAGCTGCGCCCCCTGGTTCCACTTACCCCTACTTGACCCTATAGATAATTCTACCCTCTAAGGAAAAATATAATCGTAGTATAATGCAATAAAAGGTCTTAATAAATTTGTTTGTTTGCCGCAATTTAGATTCTTGATCAATTTTCAAAATGCCCAATATAGTCTTTTTTACATTTGTTACAGTTGATCTTGTATTTGACATTATGTGTACAATTTTAGATAATTTTAATTTGAAACTATGATTTTAAGAGGTTGATAGTTTAGCCTATTACAATATAGTCCATACAATATAATAGATAGTGATAAACGATTATTTCAGTATTTCAGAGAGTCCAAAGTAATTATTGTATAGGACTATTTCTTGCTATTGTAAGAAGTATGTAACAACTAGAAACTGTACATAGACTTCCTCTTATCCGGACACGTTTTAACCAGACTAAACTCGGCGGAAATTACATCTCTTTAACTGTAGTATTTTTATCAGCACATCGGTTTAACCGGACTTGATCAGCAGAAAGTGGGCGGTACTGAAACAACTGTTCTCGTGGGAAGGATTTGAGACCAGTGAACACAAAGTCTATATACAATGCTCTCCTAAATTTAAGTCAAATACGTATATACAGTATGCATTTAAATGGTCCGTTTTAACGAGTTTTTGGAGATTTCGGTTTAACCGGAAAATCCGCTATCCGGACTGGCCTCGGTCCCGAGGAGTCTGGATAAGAGGGAGTCTACTGTAATTAACTTTCACAGTCGTTTAAAACACAGTCCTGTTGAGCTGGTACCATTCTGTTTGTATGTTAGAATGGCCTTTCGCTGCTTCAATTGATTTTCAAAAATGATTTTTCAAGGACCATAGTCTCAGAATTATTTTTCTACTATGCAAAAGACTCCTTTGATTTGCATGTTTATATTTGGTTGAGTTTTGAATCTACAACTTCTGCAAATGGTGGTTTATTTCACAACTATAATTTCGTTTAGAATACCCTGTAGATTGGTGCTTTAAAGTGGATTGCATGTGCTTCAAGCTCCTTGCTTTTTGGAAATTTCTTGTACTAACTAGAATTGCGTTAGTGTTTCCTTTGTTCTTTAGGTTCAGTTTACGATAAATGAAAACATTGTTGCTGATTTGGAGTGGAATATTTCAGTGTAGACTACTAACTCAGTGTTGCCAATACTCTTGACAATAACTGTATAATTTGTCTAAATCTGGCTTTACTGGTTCTTTACTATGCATGGAAATATCAAGCTTTGAAACTCTGTCAAACTGCTTATTTTCTTGCCACTTTCTTACTAGAGTAGACTCCCTCTAGTTTGGCCACCTCGGGACCGAACCACTGGCCGGACTAACCGGACTTCTAATACCACTGCTCTTGTATTTTACTTAAAATTTGTATTTATTGGTTATACGGAGTCCTTTTTGGTTCTGTGTAATGCTACTGGTACTTCAATTAACGTGATTCTCATCAAGTAACATGTCTCTCTCTCTCTTTAGTCTTTACAAACCTTACAAATGAAAGTTGGAAGTATGCATCGAATCCCCATCTGGCCAACAATCCACACTTCACATCACTAACTTGAAATATAAATCATGGTTTCTGTAATAAGTAGGATATAATTTTATGTGATAATAATGTTTTCATAAAATAGAGACTCATTAGATAACAAATAGGCTTCCAAAGGAAAAATTGAAACAAGCAAAAATAAGTAGGCTACAATATCTTACTGTGAACATAGGCCAAATTGTAG